AAAGGAAAAAACATCAACCACTTTACCACAAAGGCATTCTACAATATATTTAATAATAACACACCTTTTTTGAAAAAGAAAAAACAACTAAGAAATAATTTAAGCTCAAGGCAACGAACTGGGCAAACTTTGTTATGCCCTGTTTAACGTATTACAATTTACAATGATTAACAACATCACATAAACCCACAACATCAAACCTTCAACCTTAAAAACCACACAAAAGATAAAGGAATGAAAGAGAAACCATTATCTTTTTGTACTCTCCTACTTATATTGATGCAACTTATACTTGAGTTCCAAATCAGGCCTCCACCACTGATGAATCCCATGAGCCTCCTTAAAACTCTCATAAGTGCACAAATTGACACTCAAGTAAGCACAAGGCAGCAGATGCACAGCCTCACCATCCTTCCCTTTAAATATGCTCCCAATTGAGTGCTTTGTGGCCAGCCTCCCAATTTTCCCAGCGCCAATAGACTCCATATCCTCCCTGTGCTGGAAATAGCCCAAGTACTCGGAACAAATAGGGTCTTCCGGATTTATAAACAAATAGGGTATCCAAGTGGATAGCAAGGTAAACAGGTCTTTTTCTTGGGACTTAACAGCTGCGACTAGCCCAACTGTTAGAACGCTGCTTGCCAGTCTGAGGCCGAGCTTTAGTTTCTCATTTGTTATCCGTCCAATCGGAGGGGACACAAATGGAGGGTTGAAAAGGTAGGTCTCGAGGTGGATTCCGGTCTTCACCATCTCCCTTCCTATCACCTGCATGAACCACACGTGCACGAGTAATTTTCCACACCGAAACATTTTAATTCGAAAAAATATCCACGTTTTTTAAGGAGAGTATATTCAATTGGGACTTTTAAAGAACTTTTTAAGACTTTTTAAAGTGAACCACGCCTTTTAAGGAGAGTATATTCAATTGGGACTTTCAAGAACTTTTTAAAACTTTTTAAAGTGAATGACTTTGGTGGATTTTGTAAAATTTTTAATGACTTTGGTGTACATTCTCAAACATCCATAGCCGACCATAGCAAAACGAGGTTTATATTGAGACCTTGTCTTTATAATTTTATTTAAAAAGTCTCTCAGAGTCTTCCAATTTAAAAAGCCTTATAAAGTCTCTCTAATTCGAATACGGAGTGACTTATTGAGACTCTTAGAAAATTTGAATTGAATATACTGAGACTTTTAGAGATTAATAAAAAGTTTTTAACAGTCTCAATTGAATTGAATACCTGTAGATTTTCTATAGAAGTCCAAAAAAGTTTCAATTGAATACACCAAATTTTTTAAAATCTTAAAAGATCTTAATTGAATACACCTAAAACTGTACTTACCAATGCTATTGATGATCCTAGGGAATGTCCTGCCACCCATATGTTACCTGGACCAACCCTCTGGACAACCTCACTGACCGATTTATAGCTGATTTGAAAACGCGTGCTGTTGTGGAGATTGTTGAAGATGCAGTGAAAATTGAGCTTGAAATCCTGTTCTCTGTTTCCGGCCTTGTTGATAGTGCCCCGGAAGGCGATTACGTATTGTGGAGGCCTATGGCCTAAGTAGTAGTTATGGTATGGATATTGGAAATTGAACTCATAAACTGCTCCAAAGATGGAGACATCGTGATCATCCACAAGTACTTGGACTAGTCGGAAATTGAAAAACTGCCACCAAGGCGGGGCCAGAGCGTGTGGGCCTTGCCGGTTTTGCCGCCGGTCGCGTTCGAGAGTGTACGCGCCTTGGACAAGGCTAGCCGCAATTGACCGCCTATGGTGTGAATTGTTCCTGAGTTATGTATATATGCGGCGACAATAGGTTTCAAAACTATAGGTGAAAATTTACTGAAAAGCCCTTATATTTAAACTTTTTTTTTTTTTTAAACGACAGATACTATAACACTGAAAATATATAAAGTTCGAGGACTAACTAGCCGAAATGCTACAAAGCACAAACCTTATTTAAAATTGTGATTTACAAAACACTAAAATTAGAGGCTATAATTGATCAAAACTTTAATTTGGCTACAAAATACAAACTACCAAACAAATGTGGTGTTACCAATCAATAGCAGTCAGAAATGTTGGTCCACTGATGCTGAAGATCTCCCTCTCAGAAGCCATTTTTAGATTGTCTTCCTACTTGTGCTGATGCAAGACCCTAGAATAAANAGAAAAATAATCTTGATAAGCTACAACAGTCAACAAGCACACATTGAAACTAACAACCTCCTCGAGCACTGGTTTGAAATGGACACGCAATAATAAAATATGCCACAAATCAAAATTATAATGAAAAAGAAGACAATTCACAATGTATTTCAATCACAAAAATGGGGAATTCATACAGATAATGCCAATGCTGGATGCTTCACACAAATCAGAAAATAATTTTCTCACCCTATGAACTTACCTCAAAGATAAAACAATTCAAATACGATAATCAATTTCGTCAGCAGCATTCATAAATCAGTTTTCATCATTACAAGGATTCAATACATTAGCAAAAATTCAACTCCAATTTGCTGCAAATCAAAACAACACTTCAATACACTCACGCGTTTAGAGGATATATATATATTAAAAAGTCAGCGGGTTTGAACTTCTAAATCCAACTCATTTGGCATTTAAAGTAATATGAACAATGCAATAATTTACAATTTTCAAGATTCAAACGAATATAATATTACTATGAAATGATGCACTTTGTAGTGATGAAAACAAAGTCAATAGACAGATAAATTTCATAGAAGTTGTTTTTAAATTCAATCGTAGTTGCAGGGCATTGCATGACTTTTGTAGGAAATTAGCGGAAATTGCGTGGCTCATTTAGAATAATACTAGTGAGTATCCTTGCGATGCACGATAAGCTTGTTTTTAATTTTTTTTTAATAAAATTATCGTAGATATCATATTGTAACAACATTAATACCTAAACATCTACCTATTATACACGAATCCCGTAGCAATGCACGATAAGATATATTCATCGATATTTATAAATTAAAAATGTCATTAAATTATATTTATAAATTAAAATATAGAATTAATATATAATACAATTTATCTATATTATTTTTTAAAATGATATATGAAATTTAAATTATGCAAAATTACATAAAATATGTCTATTTAAAAGTAGTACACAACCTGTACGGTGCAAGTAACTCATAATAAATTACATTATAATAATTTTAGAAAAGTGTCACTTTTAAATTTTTATTCAGAATTTGATTTGACTACAATATGATTCCATAAAATAATTATTTTGGTAAAGTTTTGTCATATATTCAAAAATTTATGTGGATAAAAAGTATAATTATAAAATTTATATTGTTTCATTAGTTAATGTGATTTTGTTTTTGTATAAACTATCCACATCAAAAAATTTAAGTAGTTGAATAGATTATTAAACAATAAACAATTGACTATTCCATTTACGTCCAAGTTAATATAGTCTCGTAAGTTATGAATAATTACTTATTTGACTTTTAAGTTTGGAACCCAAGTTTCGGCTACACAACATATATATATATATATATATATATATATATATATATATATATATTATCGTAATTTTCTAGATTTGTTGTCGATTACCTTATTGAGATAACTGAAGGAATTTTTACGGCAATGAACAATTGTGAAAAATAAGATTTCATAATTAAGAATAATGATTTTGAATTGAACAAAAATAATATCTAATTTCAAGGAGCTACGGTTAAATATGGATATTTCGTTCCAAATTTTTTATATATATTCTATTAGTTAAATATGGACAAACAAATATTTATCACTAGAATTCTGTACAAACTTTGATATGGAATATTATATACCTGAAGGAATAAATCAGTTCACTACGCCGGCCATACAAGCCTAATATTGGGGAGGCCACGTTGGTCGAGCAATAGTAGGCTGGAAGGCAGTGGTCAAATATTATTGGAGAAATCTGGTCAAAGATCGACCTACTGAGTGAGAGATCATTGGATCGATCACCTTGTGAGTGAAGAGCAGTCGGGAGCGTGATCCAAACGTGAGGGAGCGCGTGAGCTTCCTAGGGAATTTCCAAGGAATATTCATGGGAATAATTACCCCATGTGCAGAGGACACGCGACAAAGATACATTGGCGCACAGTGATAGTGGCGATAACCACCTCTGTCACACGCACTGTGTGTGTACGGACGGGCAGATCCGGGCAGCTTTGGGCAGACAGCTCATCAAATCCGGGCAGCTCCTAGGGCAGGTATCTCACCCCTATATATATGGGGGTGAACCTTTCTTGTTACACACGATTTATCCATTTTTACTCTTGAGATTTGAGTAGAACAAACACTGACTTAAGCATCGGAGGCTCTTCACAGGGAAACTCCTCCGGTGTGAGAGTTCTTTGCAGGTACACAGCGTTTTAATGGCAAGGAGGAAGAAGGCAAGTCGATTTCCAGCCGGTCGGAGTGTTTTGCGTTACCATTTAGCGTCGTCTGTGGGAACTTTCATTCGAAAAGTGGTGTGTTGAGGTTACTTGAGCTTTGTGGCTATGGCGGACGGAATTCCCATAATTAATTAGCAGTCGTCGTTCGATGAATCATGGACGACGACGAGGCCGTTTGAAGAAGGCCCTCCTTCGGGCTTCTCCAGACCTTTGCATACACTGGTGACCCCAACACCTGTTCCTCAAGGTTAGGGGCCCACCGGTGCTTCTAGAAGTAGATGTGGGCTCAAGCCGAGCTCAAGAAACTCTTACAACACAGGGGATGGCGATTCCAGCGCCGTTACAACCAGATCTGGCCGGGATCCAGCCATTGGGAGCGGTGGTGCAGGGAGATACAACATATGGTGGCAGATGTAGCTGCGCAAGCGGTCCAGTAGGTCACAAACAGCCTTTCTTGAGCGGCTACTGCACCGACCACGGTGGCGGGTGCGCGTCTCAACATGGAGGAGGACGTGTCCAGTTATGGAGGAGAAGGAGCCCCTCGAGATCGAGAGATGGAGAGGTTGGCCGTGAAGGTGCGTCAATTGTAGGTCAAGGTGGATGGTCGAACGGAGAGACGCTCTCGAGGACACCCATTCTCGGGAGATATACTGTCGCGCTGTTGCCAGCAAATTTCAGGGATGTGAGTTTGGTGTTCGATGGGACCTCTGACGGTCTGACCCATCGAGGCATGTCAGGACATTTGAAAATATGGCTGTGTTACATGGTTATACTAATCCTGTTAGTTGCAGGGCATTTCTATCGACCTTAAGAGGAGGTGCACTCGATTGGTTCCAGCAGCTCTCCGCTAGATCGATAACAGACTTTGAGGACTTTGCGGAGAAGTTGACAAATCAATATTTGAGTGTCGTGGCGCAGGAGAAGACTTACTTGACCTTGATGGCGATGAGGCAGGGGGAAAAGGAGTCGTTCCGCAGGTACGTTGCTCGATACAATCAAACTTATTTGGAGATCCCAACGGCTGCGGATGAGGTGAAAACAGGAACGTTGATAAGGAGTTTACGAGCAGGGCCTTTTCGAACATATTTGGCTAAGACTCCTGCTCGTACATACGATGAAGTGCTGAAGAGGTGCAAGAAGTATATCAAGTTCGAGGAAACGAAGGCGGAGCTTACTAAGTTGGAAGAGTTGGCTCGACCAGAGCCAAAGAAGGGGAAGGCGAACTCGCCTAGGACGGTGTCACCAAGGAGAGGATCACCCAGGAGAGAGGGGGGCGGTAGGATGGATCGAGGGCGTGAGGATAGATTGAAGGATCGACCTATTTCTAGAGGGAAAAGATTCCATACTTTTACGCCATTAAATGCGGAAATAGGAGAAGTATTGGTGGTCATTGAGAAAAAAATAGATGACAAAGATGTGACGTGGCCCAGGTCGAGGTTTGAGGGGCCAACACAGCCTAAATCAAGGAGGTATTGCCAGTTTCACAAGGATTATGGTCATATGGCAGAGGATTGCAGACACCTCAAAGATGGGATCGAACGCCTTTTTGAGCAGGACACCTCAAGGAATTTGTGTATCAGGATAGGGTGAAGGGGAAAGAGAAAAGGAGATGTCGAGAGGATTCGGTGGAGAGGAGGGATAGGGATGATGACGTGGAGGATGATGCTCGGGCAGAGCGAGGTGGCAAAAGGGGTTATGGAGGCAAGAGGAGAAGGGAGAGCAGAGATCGAGGAGGACATGAGGATTTTGGCCTTATGAAGAGATGGACGATATACATGATTTCTGGAGGACCAACGGACAGGGACTTGAATAATGCGAGGAGAGGGCATGTTCGAGCAATGAAGCGGAGAAGGGAAAAAGTGGGTATCACTGCTCGAATGCCGCAGATTAGTTTTCGAGCGGAGGATGCCGAAGGAGTGGTGTTGCCTCATATTGATGAATTGGTGATAACGGCGGAGGTGGCAGGCTTTGATTTGAAGAGGGTGCTTATCGATACGGGGATTCGGTCGATGTTATGTTCTATGATTTTTTTGTGCAAATAAACGAGGAGCTCAACGTCGAGCTGAAACCGATGGCCACAGCCTTGTATGGATTCAATGGAGGAGAACTGACGCCAATGGGAGAGGTGAGCTTATCCGCTGCTTTGGGGAAAGGAGTGATGAGGAAAGTGAGGATAGTGAGGTTTGTGGTCGTTGGAACGGAGTCATCGTCTAACATTATCATGGGGAGAACCAGCTTGAATGCGTTCCAGGCGGTCGTGTCGACGTACCACATTACGATCAAATATCCAATGGGCGAAAATGTTGGCGAGGTCGCAGGAGATCAGCCCACCTCCAAGAGATGTTATCAAACCACGGTGAGTAACAATAAACAACTGGCGAAGAGACATGTGAAGTTAGGGGAGGAGACACCAAGTCGGCCTGATGGTTCGAGGTCGAAGGAGAAAATGGTGAAGTCCTATAAAGGAAAGGAAAAGGCGGAGATTCAACCAGGGAGTGAGATTGAGGAGATTCAAATGGTAGAGGGTTATAAGAAAAATGAGGTTTAGGATCGGGAAGGAATTGGAGGAGCCCATGAGGTCGAAGTTGATAAGGTTGATAAGGGAGTTCGCGGATGTGTTTGCTTATACTGCGGAGGAGTTGACAGAGATTAAGGCGGAGGTGATCGAGCATAGGCTGAATATCGACCTTTTAGTGAGACGGATGAAGAAAGGAGGATGCATCATGGGGCAGAGATGGATAAGATGATCGAACAGAAGGTTGAGAAATTATTGAAGGCAGGTCAAATTAAGGAGATCCAGTTCCCCGAATGGTTACCCAACACGGTGATAGTGTCGAAGTCGGAGGAAAAATGGAGGATGTGCATCGATTTTCGTGATTTAAACAAGGCGTGCCCGAAGGATTTATACCCATTGCCAAGGATCGATCAGCTGGTCGATTCCACTGCAGGATGTGAGCTGCTCAATTTGATGGATGCATCCCAAGGATATCATCAGATCCCTTTGGCTAGGGAGGATAGGAAGAGGGTGAGTTTTGTGACAAGCAGGGGAACCTATTGCTATCTGGTGATGCCGTTTGGTTTGAAAAATACGGGAGCTACGTATCAAAGGTTGGTCGATAAGATTTTCAAGGGGC